TCAATTTCTGTGAGATGTGAGATGCAGTGAGATGTGAGATGCATTCTGTGAGATGCAGACTCACAGCCAAACATTAGGCAGAGTTTGAGGAATATTACATAAGAGGTGGAGAAAGGATTGTGGGAGTCAGAGGGGTCAAGGACACAAGAAAACTCACAGAATCAACCTGGGCTGACAGGGCTCACAGAGACTGAACCAACAACCAGGGAGACTGCACGGGACTGACCTAGGCACTCTCTCTCTCTCTCTCTCTCTCTCTCTCTCTCTCTCTCTCCCTCTATTCTGTATATGTTACATTGTGTAGCTTGGTCCTCTTGTAGGACTCCTAACAGTGGGAACAGGGCCTGTCTCTGACTCTTTTACTGGCTTTTGGGACCCTACTCCTCATACTGGTCCCCTTGCCTAGCTTTAACACTTGGGGAGATGTTTAATCTTACTGCAACTTGATATACCATGTTTTGTTGATACTCATTTCCTAAGTAGAAATGGAAGAGTGGATGGGGGAGGGCTGGGAACAGAAGGGGTGTGGGGGGGCTGGGAGGAGAGCAGGGAGGGGAAACTGTGGCCAGGATGTAAAACAAACAAACAAACAAACAAATAAATTTATAGAATCAGTTCCTTTCTTCATTTTGATGATGTTTGTGAAAACTGATTCTAGATTAGCTCCAGACAAGAGAGGGTTGCTGCATCAAAGACGTCTTCCAGGCATGTGCTTGCTGGGCACAGGATGAAGCCCAGCCTGCAGAAAGAGCAAGGAGAGCCTGGGCTGTGCCAACCAGTGTGAGTCCTCTCCTCTGGAGAGGAGGCCCTAGGGCCTGGATGTTGTCCTCCACTTGCTACATCTGGGATCTCCTTAGGCAATGAGGAAGTGAAGGAAGTTTGTTTTGGGCTGGCTCCCACCTCCCTTTCCTGCTTGATTTCCTCTTCTCACCAGCATTGACCCTTCCATGGACCATGACACTTAGGAACAGGAGGGGACAGATGAAGGCAAACACAGTCCAGGAAGGATCAGCTCTGCAGACACATCCCCTAATACACCTAAAAATCCATTATATCCAGGCTAGGCTATATTGCTAGTTTTTTTCTCTTCTGTCCTGCATCATAGTCTACCTTCCATGCTAATGCCAGGGAGATCTCCTGGAGGCCATGTCACTTCTCTGTATGAAAGTCTCTAGTGAAAGTCACCCATGAGACTTCTTGGCTCTCTACCTTTTCTACTTTATCCCTGTCTTCTGCAGTATGTTCCCTCCTCACTGAAGTGCTAGGTTCATGCTATTTTACTGTCAAGAAGGCTCTCCTGTCTATCTGCCTGGGGAATTTCTACATTATGCCCTCGACTAGACTTCTCTGCTGGAATGAGCCGACCTCCTCACTATATTGTCTCCTTTGGTGGTGAGTTGTCTGCCTCTGTGACCCCCACAGTGCCTTGTTGGTGCTATCATGCCTCCCATGCTCACTCGCATAGCCCACTACTATTTATTGAGTACTAGCTATCTGCCAGCTTTGGGGATAGAATTGTGACTATAATCATTTGGACCCTAGCACTATAACTTAATTGTTTAGCACTTACCCAATTTTATTGTGATTACATGATTTGAAACCTATTGGTCCTGATGGCTAGTTCCTATTTTCATGACAGGAACCAGTATTAGTTTATCTCTGAATTTCAATGTATTTAGCACAGATATTAATAGTTGGATGTTCCAGTTTGTATTTGTTGAATGAGTCAGTTTGCTTATTCAAAGACATGCTTTGGGAAATATTTATTCAAGGAAGAATCTCCTTAGTGTGTGGGTATGCTTGGTTCAGGACCTTTGGGAGACCTTTAACAAATAAGTATTTCAACAAGAACATATTGGATGCAGGTGCTGCAGCTCCAACTTAGACACAACAGAACTGTTCTCTGTTGTGTTACATAGGATGGCAGCTAGATGTGAATGTATTATCAGCAATGAATTTTTTTTAGTGTAACTATGTCTCAATATTTCATAAGACATAACTGTATCTCAGCTATGTCTGCAATGACATTTAACTGGTGTTCTGTATTTATTTGCTAAAATTTGCTCTCAAGACTCTGAGTCAGTCCTTCTGTGTTCACACTCTGGCTTTGTTCCTTCAGCCCTGTGTGGTTGGTTGAGTCAGATACAGGAAAACTCAATTGAGTACCACTGTAATTCCTGGGAAAAGAGGTCACAGAAGTTTCTTATGACCCTGTTACCCTCACCATTTTTGTCTTGAAGAAGTATGAGATTTTTATAAAAGTGACCATCAACAGGCTGGATAGGAGGAAGACTAGTGGCTTCTATGGAGGCCACATGACAGAGATGCCTATTTATGCATATTAGATAGTTCCTAACCAAGTCAGTGAGGCCCTCTCAATGAACTCTGAGACTGAGAGACAAAGAGAGAAGAAATTCAGAGATGTGAAAGCAGTAAAAGGATGAAAGGAGGAAGCAGAAACTCAGCATCCAGGGCAAGGGTTTAACCTTCCTGGTATCCCCAGTGCTTATCTGTGAGTGTGAGGACCTTCGTGCTCCCAACAGGCAGACAAGTAGACAGCAGAATGACAGGGGGTCTGTGAGTCTGGGAGGGCTACGGCTGCTGTCTAAGAGGTTTACCTTTTGTTTTATATTATTTCTGCCTGTACTGGAGGTTGTACTTAGGCCTCAAGCATCCCAGAGATGCACTGTACCACTTAGCTACACTTGGGCTCTTTTTTGAGACAGTATCTTACTGAGATCTGAGGCTCACCAGCTAAGCTACACTGGCTGACTAATGAGCCCCAGGGACCACCAGCCTCTGTATGACTTTTTAGTCAAGAAAAACCATTCTCAGAAGTTTTTGTTTTTTTTTTTTTATTTGAATTACGAACAAGATTGAATTACATGACAATCCCAGTTCCCTTTTCCTTCCTGTCCTCCCTTACCATCCCCCCAGCTAAAACCCTACCTATCACATATCCTTTCTTCTAATCTACACCTGACTCAACCTTTCTGCTCCCTTATGACCTCTGCATCCTTCCTTTTCTTCCCTTCTCATTCTCATAGCTCCCTACCCCCTCTTCCCATGCTCTCAATTTGCTCAGGGGATCGTGACCCTTTCCCCTTCTCCAGGGGACAAAGTTTGTCTCTTTTAGGGTCCTCCTTGTTTACTAGTCTCTGGCAGTGTGGATTGTAGGCTGGTAATCCCTTACTCTATGTCTAAAATCCACATATGAGTGAGTACATACCATATTTGTCTTTTTATGATTGGGTTACCTCACTCAGAATGGTTTCTTCGAGTTCCATCCATTTTCCTGAAAATTTCAAGAGTCCATTTTTTTTTTTTTCCCACTAAGCAGTACTCCATTGTGTAAATGTACCACATTTTCTCTATCTATTCTTCGATTGAGGGGCATCTGGGCTGCTTCCAGTTTCTGGCTATTACAAATAGTGCTGCTATGAACATCGCTGAACAGATGTCTTTGTTGTATGAATGTGCATCCTTTGGGTATATGCCTAGGATTGGAATTGCTGGATCTTGTGGTAGACTGATTCCCATTTTCTTGAGGAGTCGCCATACTGATTTCCAAAGTGGCTGTACAAGTTGGCACTCCCACCAGAGGTGGAGAAGTGTTTCCCTTTCTCCACATCCTCTCCAGCATAAACTATCATTGGTGTTTTTTATTTTGGCCATTCTGACAGGAATAAGATGGTATCTCAGAGTTG